CTCCTCCCCGCCCGCTTCCTTGCCCCCGTGGCCTCCAGTCTCGTCGCAAAGTGCGCCGAGATGTCCGGGGACGGGAGCGCTCCTGCGGGGAGGCTGTCCGTGAGTCCCCCCCCCATCCCCGCTGCGCCAGACAAGAAGGTCATGTCATGCCAGCGTACGCAGAAGAGACACGAAGACAAGGAGACAATAAGGACATGATAAGGCAAAAAAAAAAGACGAGATGACAAGAAGGACGAGAAGACGAGAAGACAAGAGAAGACAGGAAAGCAAGCGAAGACAAGAGAAGTCAAAAAGAAGACAAGAGGACGAGAAGCCAAGAAGGACAAGAGAGTTCAAAAAGCCTCTGATTGCGCGAGGTCCAGGGGTGGCAGCGCCAGACAGGCTCCGCATCCTCCCCCACACTGCAACGCGAGGGGAGACCGACCGCCGCCCACGGAGGGAGCAAGAGGCCGCGCAGGAGAGGGGGAGCGAGGGAGCGAGACCGCAGGGCGGGGAAGGGGGTGGGAGCGGAATGGAGAAAGGGGGAGGAGGAGCAGGAGGAGGAGGAGGAGGAGAAGGAGGAGGCGGAGGAGGTGGTGGAGGAGGAGGAGCAGGAGGAGGAGGAGGAAGAGGAAGGGGGGCAGAGGGCGAGAGATGAGGAGCAAGCACGGGAGGGACAAGGAAGAGGAGGCGGAGGAGGAGAAGGAGAAGTAGGAGGAGGACAAGGAGGAGGGAGGGGCAGGAGGAGGGATGAGAGGAAAGAGCACCCTCCTCCTCGCAGGGGTATTCCTGCCGACCATGCACTTCTCCTCCTCCGCATCCTCATCCTCCATCCCTTCCCCTTCTACATGAAACCTCCTCGGAGGGGGAGAGGAGGAGAGAGGGAGGGAAGGTGGAGGGGCAGAAAAAGGCGGCATAGCAGCATCAGGAAACGATAAGTGGACGGAGAAAGGAAACGGCGGACAGTCTGCCCCCCCACCCCCCTACCCCCCCGCGACCATCATGCCTCCTTTTTGCCCTCTGCAACCTGCCCCATCCTCATGAGTGTCCTCCCCCTCACAATCACGCTTCAAAATCATGAGCACTATCACCATCGCCATCCTCACCACCACCACCGCCACCGTCATGATCAATGCCCCCCTCGTCACTGTCATCATCATCATCATCATCATCATCATCATCATCATCATCATCATCATCATCATCATTGTTCTCCGCTTACTCCGCCTCGACCCTTTCCATGTCCTCCTCTTCCTCCTCATTATCATCCTCCCCGCTCCTCCTCACTCCTCCTCCTGCTCCTCCTGCTCCTCCTCCTCCTCCTCCTCCTCCTCCTCCTCCTCCTCCTCCTCCTCCCCCTCCTTGTCCCCCTCCTCGTACCTCTCCTTATGTTCATCTTCATTCGTGCCCCCCTCCCACCTCCCCCATCCTCCTCCATCCTCCTCCTTCTCCTCCAGGACGACGATCACCACTACCAAGGCGACGACGACGACGACCACGACGACGACGACGACAACAACGACGACCACGAACCCGACGATGGCCACCACGACCACGACGACGACCACGACAACAACGACGACCACGACCGCAGCCACGACGACAGCCACGACCACGACAACAACGACCAAGACCACAATGACAACGACCATGCTCACAACGACGGCCACGCCCACGGCCACGACGACCGTCACCGCGACCATGACCTCGACGACCACCATCACTACGACCACGACCACGACCACGGCGACGACGACGACGACGACGACGACGACGACGACGACGACGACGGCGACGACGACGCCGAAGACGACGACGACGACGACGACGGCGACGACGAAGACGACGACGGCGGCGACGACGACGACGACGACGACGACGACGACGACGAGCGGCGAGCGGCGAGCGGCGAGCGGCGAGCGGCGAGCGGCGAGCGGCGGCGGCGGCGGCTGGCCGAAGCGTCCTCCACGGCCGAAGGCGACCCGACCGTAGCTGGCCGCCGACGCGGGGTGGAGCCGACGGGCGCCCAGCTCGGCGCCACGTGCGATGCAGGTAGGGGCGGAGGCCTTCTCCTCCAGCCCTCCTTGTCCTCATCCTCGTGCAACCTCCGGCCTCCTCCATCCTCAGCCTCCCCCTTCCTCCCCAGTCCTACTCCACACTCCTCCTTCTCCTCCTCCTCCTCCTCCTCTACCCCCTCCTCCTTCACCTCCCCCTCCTCCACCTCCTCCTCACCGTCCATCCTCCGCCCTCCGTCCTCCATCCTCATCATTTTTTGTCATGCTTTCCAAGCTGCCACAGGTGCATCGAGCTCCTCTGAATTGACCATCGGCCCCATACACGACCGAAGGAGCGAGAATGATATATATATATATATATATATATATATATATATATATATATATATGTATATAAAAAGGGAGAGAGAGAGAGAGAGAGAGGAAAAAATAAAAATAAAAAAGAGGACAGCTAAACGAAAATAATGAAAGTGCAAATGCCTCTTGGTCGAAGGGAGAATGCGGCTGGCGGCCCGCCAAGTTCACGACCTGGCACACGGCCGCGCGTCTGCCGTCGCACGGCCACGGCGCTCGCTGCCCCCGCTCGATCACACCACCACCCCTCCCCCCCCATCACACCTAATTACTGCCAGCGCCGCTGGCCCACCCCTGCGAGCGTGGGTCAGCTGGCCGACGATCCACGCTGGCAGATTGCCCGCCAACCGCGCCGCTTCACCCAGGCCTGCTCGACCACAGACCATCCTGCCTGGGGAGGCCGCCTGCTGGTCCTGCCCGCTCCCAGGTGCGAGCACCCCGCTGCGGCCGAGGCCGGGGCGGACACACAGCGAGAAGCACTGCGCGCTCACTGCGCCGCTGTCCGAAACTGCTGGCGTGCCAGGCGACACCATCGCGCACGCCCCGTTCCACGCCATTGCCTGTCGCGCGTCGGCCCCTCACGAAGAGCTCGACGGGGCGGACGACGGACCGGTGCTGGAGCTCGGCTGCCCGGCCCCAGGGGCGCCATGGCGGCTGCAGCCCTGGCCCTGGGACCTGAGGGAGCTGCCGGCGTCGCAACCGGACCCCGAAGCGCCACAGGCGCAGTGCCGACCCCCATCCTTACTTCTTATGATTAAACACCCCACATCCTCACCTAGCCGGCCGATAGCACACCCGCCGTCTTAACTGTCAACGAGCAACACAAACTCAACTCTCTTCTCGCCAACATGGCGTCGAGTTGCGAAAAGTGTAGCAGCAATGGGACAGAAGGAACATCGCTCGGGAGGCCCTGAGCGGGTGGTCGCGTCCTACCCATCAAAAACAACAATACAAAGTGGACGTGTTCTCGTCAACATGGACGTTCTTGCCGTCGACGCTGCGAAGAATGTATCAGGAATGGGACGCGGCGCACATCGCGCGCGAACGCCTGGCCAACCCTACGCGGGACCTCCCGTCCTACCTTTCAAAAAATACCGCAACGTCGACGTTTTTCTTGCCAACATGTACTTTCTCCACGTCGGCGCTGCGAATCGCGCAGCGGGAATGGGACGCGGCGCACATCGCGCGGGGACGCTTGCTCGTCAACATTGACTTTCTTGTCGTCGGCGCTGCGGCCCGTCGGGTTGCGGAGCTGGGCGGGCGGCAAGTCAGAATGCCTCAAGCAAGCGCGGTTCAAGCGACTGCCTCAGGAGACCCCCAAGAGGTCGAAAAAAGGCGTCCAGGAGGTCCTGGGGAGGCGACACAAATATTGATTGTCATGTGGTGTTGGAAAGACTGTGAGGTTCGCACCTACTTGTGTTGACAATGTCCCAACCCCGAAAATGTAACCAAGACGCCCTCAGGCGTACACTAGAAAACTCCCAGGACGCCCCGCGAATTCCCAAGAGGCACTCTCCTCTTCCTCCTCAGTTTCTCTCCCTCTCTCCCTCTCTCCCACCCCTCCTCTTCCTCCTCCTCCTCCTCCCCCTCCTCCATGCGCGGCAGTTGCGAAACGATTGGCGGTGCAACACGCGTGGCTGGAATGAGACGCGGCGCACTTCGCGCGCTGGACATGTTATCACCGACGATGCAATATGAGAGGCCGGAGCGGGACGCCGCGTACATCGCGCGCGGTCTTGTTTCTCGTCGACGTTGCTCAACACGCGGCAGGAAAAGGACGCAGCGCATGTCGCGCGCTGAACGTCTACCCGCCCACAATATAAGATGAGCGACAGGCGTCGGACGCGACGCACTTGCTTCTTATGTTGTGGGAGGGCGGGTGGGAGTGGACGGAGCCATCTGGCTCGTTCGAGCTGGCTAACTTGACCCCACGCCACCCCACCACCCCCACCCAACCACCACCACCACCACCACCACCCACCCCAAGCCCACCCAAACTTTCTTTGTTGCGACGCGCGCGCAAAGCGAGCGGTCAAGCGCCTCGGCGGCGCCGTGCCCAGCTCAGGCGCGTGCACCTAATTAGGGGTGGAAGGGGGGGGAACCACCCACCCACCCACCCACCCACCCACCCACCCACCCATTCCCACTCCGCCCCGCCCCACATGGCCTCCGGCGAGGCCCCTCGGGGCCCCAGTAGGGCAAAGGACGTCCCAGAACCTCCATTCTGGTTCCTCGGGCCTCCTCCACCCCTCCCTCGCCCCCCTCCTCCTCCCCCTCCTGGGCCCATGGCCAAGGCCTGGAAACTATGGAAGTCCTTCGGAATGCGTTCGGACCGACCCAGGTTTCATGCGTAAAGGTAATAATGGAACCAGCAACATTGGATGGTGGTCATCACCCCCATCCCTATCCCCTCCCCCCCTCCCCCCCCCCTCCGACTGGGGGAGCTGGCGCGAGCCCCCCGCATCAGGCCGCTCTGTCCCCAGCCGCCCTCCAGCGAGTGCGCGCTCACGTAGCCGCGGGCGCCAATCGGCACGCCCACGGCAGAGCCCCTGGAAAGGAGCAGGAGGAGAAGAAGGAGGAGGAAGAGGGAGGAGGAAGAGGAAGAGGGAAGCGAGAAGAGGGAGGAGGACGAGAAGTAGGAGAAGCAGGGGGAGGGAGGAGGAAGAGGAGGAGGAGGAGGAGAAGGAGGAGGAAGAAAAGGAGCAAGAGGAGCAAGAGGAGGAGGAGGAGGAGGAGGAGGAGGAGCAAGAGAAGGAGGCGGAGAAAGAAGGAGGAGAATGAAGGAGAGAAGGAGGGGGATGGTGGAGGAAGAGGAGGCGGAGCAGAAGAGGAGGAAGAGGAGAGGGATGAGGAGTTCGGTCGAGAATCGAGTGATCTCGCGGGCTATGAAACAAAGCAACATCTACAAACTCGCGGTCTGGACTACTCGGCCGCGATCCCACGGAGATATTTGGGAGGATGCCCCGCGCGGAACGGAACACGTATTCATGTGATCGCGGCTGGTAAACCGACCACGAGGATACGGATATGGATGGATTCGTCGGTTGTGCGCGGTTTCCGAATCCTCTCTTCATCGACCCCACCCAACTACCCACCATATGACGTTTCCCCCCGCCGGCGGCAAAACAATACGCCCACTCATGTCAACGGGGTTGGTTCAGTGTACCCTGAGGCAGACTGTATTTCGACGATGCCTTGTCTGCGAAGACTGCTAAGCTGAGGCGACATGAAGAAAGACATGAAGGTCTGTCTGTCGAAGGCCGACTGCCTGTCTGAGGAACGGAAGGAACAGATGGGTCGCCCAGCTATGCTAGGGAGCTCCCGAGCGAAGTAAACCCCACCCTCCCCATCAGAAACCGTGGGGGATGGGGGGCAGGGTTCGCAGGTGGCCCCCCAATCTGCGAGCAACAGACTTGGAATCAGAGCCCTGGGGCCAGGCGCCGGCGTTCACAAAGTACTCGAGCCTGCGCCTGGCTGAGGGCAACCCTTGCCTTCCAGGAGCTGGACAGAGGACCAACCAACACTAGGTCGGGCATGTCCCCCTACATCGACAGAGGGGGAAATTGGACGAAAGATTAATTCCTATTCACAAGTAGTCAAGAAATACTCAAAAAATGGTCCCCACATTATTTTTGGACTATTTCCCAACCATCCTGTGGTGTTGGGTCCTCGTTTTGAAAAGACGGTGCCCCGCGTTCCTCTCCTCTCCTCTCCTCTCCTCCTCTTCCCCCTCCTCCCTCGTGCCCGCGCCCGCATGCGTCACCCACACCCATTTCGGCACACCCCTCACACGCTTCGTGGCTCCATAGGGAGCTCCACCGAAGGCCCCAGTGCCCGCGCCCGCATGCGTCACCCACACCCATTTCGGCACACCCCTCACACGTTTCGTGGCTCCATAGGGAGCTCCACCGAAGGCCCCAGTGCCCGCGCCCGCATGCGTCAGCCACACCCATTTCGGCACACCCCTCACACGTTTCGTGGCTCCATAGGGAGCTCCACCGAAGGCCCCAGTGCCCGCGCCCGCATGCGTCACCCACACCCATTTCGGCACACCCCTCACACGCTTCGTGGCTCCATAGGGAGCTCCACCGAAGGCCCCAGTGCCCGCGCCCGCATGCGTCACCCACACCCATTTCGGCACACCCCTCACACGTTTCGTGGCTCCATAGGGAGCTCCACCGAAGGCCCCAGTGCCCGCGCCCGCATGCGTCACCACACCCATTTCGGCACACCCCTCACACGTTTCGTGGCTCCATAGGGAGCTCCACCGAAGGCCCCAGTGCCCGCGCCCGCATGCGTCACCCACACCCATTTCGGCACACCCCTCACACGTTTCGTGGCTCCATAGGGAGCTCCACCGAAGGCCCCAGTGCCCGCGCCCGCATGCGTCACCCACACCCATTTCGGCACACCCCTCACACGTTTCGTGGCTCCATAGGGAGCTCCACCGAAGGCCCCAGTGCCCGCGCCCGCATGCGTCACCCACACCCATTTCGGCACACCCCTCACACGTTTCGTGGCTCCATAGGGAGCTCCACCGAAGGCCCCAGTGCCCGCGCCCGCATGCGTCACCCACACCCATTTCGGCACACCCCTCACACGTTTCGTGGCTCCATAGGGAGCTCCACCGAAGGCCCCAGTGCCCGCGCCCGCATGCGTCAGCCACACCCATTTCGGCACACCCCTCACACGTTTCGTGGCTCCATAGGGAGCTCCACCGAAGGCCCCAGTGCCCGCGCCCGCATGCGTCAGCCACACCCATTTCGGCACGCCCCTCACGCGTTCCGTGGCCCCATAGGGAGCTCCGCCGAAGGTCCCAGTGGGTGTGCCCGCATGCGTCCCGCACACCCATTTCGGCACAGCCCTCACACGTTTCGTGGCCCAATAGGGAGCTCCACCGAAGGCCCCAGTGGGTGTGCCCGCATGCGTCCCGCACACACATTTCGGCACACCCCTCGTACGTTTCGTGGCCCCGTAGGGGGCTCCACCGAGAAGATATTCACAATTGCAGTATTCACAATTGCATATGGTTGGGTCCTTCGCCAGGATACTTTTGAATATTCCCCTGTACAGGGACAGGCCCGACTTAAGACCAGCAGGGAGATCCCTCCACCCACACTGCTGGCAGCCAAGGCAATAAGATACGATAGACTCGTGTTGGCCTCGTCGGCAGCTCGCACGACATCGGTAGAGAGCTGCGGAGCCCTGGGAAGGGGGCCGAAGAGTAGCAATTCTTCCGAACGCGGAATTTGGAGTGCGAGAGCTGCCGGGGTAGGCGAGATCCCAGCAGAAGCGGTGGGCATTCTGCGACGGAAAGACAAGTTTGCAGGCAAGGTACAGAAATCAGGGCTTGCAGAGGAGGCAACAACCCAGAGGGTACTGCGCGCGGCTCCCAATCTGGCGCAGCCAGGTGTTCCATCCACCCTGCTGCGCCGACTGGGGGAGGGGGGATATAGAGAGAGGGCAGAAACGAGGAAGAAGGGAGGAGGAGAAGGATGAGAAGGATACGAAGAAGGAAGAAGACGAAGAAGGACGAGGAGGAGGAAAGAGAGGAGTAGGAGGAAGAGGAAGAGAAGGAGAAAGACGCAGGTAGGACGGGAACGAGCAGGGGAGGAGTGTGCAGAATAAGGGGGGCTGGAAGCCGCACGAGGAAGAGGGCGCAGGAGGAAGAGGAGGGTGGAGAACGAGAGGAGGAGGGTGAGGACGAGAACAGGTGGAGGGGAGATGGATGGAGTGCGAGGCAGGAGAGGGGGGAGGGGAAGGGCGCGAGGCAGAGCCCAGAGACGCTGTCCTGTGGAGGTGCCGCGCGCCCCCGGACTGCAGGCTGGCCACCAGGACCGAGAGCAGGAGCAGCGCGGCCTGGCCCCGTCGCGCCCCCCCCCCTGTTGTGTTCTCGCCGGCGAGCACGAACCACGAGCGACCACATGCCGGCGAGACGGGACGCTTCGCGGCTCGCACGCACGCAGCCGGACGAGGTCGTGCAGTGCCGACACGGAAGCGCGCCGGATGGGGGCACCTCGTCTGCCTTGCGCCGCGGCGCCGGTGCCCCGACCTCCAGGCGGCCCTCGCTCCGGGCCCCGTCCCGGGAGGCCCGCTCGCAGGCGGTAGGGGTTTCGTGCCGGAGGTCCGCTGGCGCGCGCGAAGCGCGTCGCAACGCTGATCGAGAGCTTCTGCTGAGCATAAGCTACGCTCACCGGAGTCGGATGCCCCTGTCGCACAGGTGGTCAGCTCCGCTGCGTTTCCCCCACAGAGGAGGGAATAGCCTGTGGGCCATGACCCTGAGGAGCACAAAAACTATGTTTGGAATATCCAAGAGGTGCAGAGAAAGATAGAAAGTTTGACCGGCTGCTTACACGTGACCTTCGAAAATTTGACCAGCAGATCAGCTTCTTTCAAAGGCCGCTTATTCATCTGTCTGGCCCTCCTCACTTAGACCCACATGCGCATCGGAACTAGCAACTTCAGTGATACGCTGCCTCTGAGGACAGGCACGCAATTGAAGAAAGCAACTAATAAGTACGCTTAAGCTACGTGTCTCTTGAAGACTCCCGCTGACATTCAACATGCGCACAATCAGTTATGAGTAGACAAATAGACTGGGCACAACAAGACAGGCAAGACACAGTGTCCCTCCCGCCCCCCCAAAAAAATAGCCTGGCGAAAGGGTCCAACCGTACGCAGCTTTGAGCACTCGTTGTATGCACCGCATTCGGAGGAGCTCCCTTTAGGGCGACGAAGCATGTGAGGGGTGTGCCAAAATGGGTGCGGTGGGCGCGTGCAGACGCAGCCACCAGGGCCGCCGGTGGAGCTCCCCATGAGGCCACGAAGCGTGCGAGGGATGTGCCCAAATCGATGCAGTGGGCACATGCGAACGCAACCGCTGGGGCCGTCGGTGGAGCTCCCTATGGGGCCACGGAACGTGTGAGGGGTGTGCCGAAATGGGTGCGGTGGGCGCATGCGAACGCTGGCATGTGAGCCTTCAGTGAGGCTCCCGATGGGGCCACGAAACGTGTGAGGGGTGTGCCAAACTCGGTGCGGCAGGAGCATGCGAACGCAACCGCTGGGGCCGTGGGTGGAGTTCCCTTTGGGGCCACGAAACGTGTGAGAGGTGTGCCAAAATGAGTGCGGTGGGCGCATGCGAACGCAGCCACTGGGGCAGTCGGTGGAGCTCCCCATGGGGCCACGAAGCGTAGGAGAGGTGTGCCGAAATGGGTGAGGTGGGCGCATGCGAACGCAGCCACTGAAGCCGTCGGTAAAGCTCCTTACGGGGACACGAAGCGTGTGAGGGGTGTGCCAAAATGGGTGCGGCGGGCGCATGCGAACGCTGGCATTTGGGCCTTCGGTGGAGCTCCCTATGGGGCCACGAAACGTGTGAGGAGCGTGCCGAAATCATAAAAGCGATGACTGGGGCGCAGAGCAAGGGCAAGGAGGGGTGGGAAGGAGGAGAGGAGAGGGGAGGGGAGGGGAGGGGAGGGGAGGGGAGGGGAGGAGAGGAGGAGAGGAGAGGAGAGGAGAGGAGAGGAGAGGAGAGGAGAGGAGAGGAGAGGAGAGGAGAGGAGAGGAGAGGAGAGGAGAGGAGAGGAGGAACGCGGGGCGCTGCGAGGTCTTGTCTGAGCGCGCGTGGCCCCCAACTCCGCTGGACTTCCCGGGAGCCCACGATCAAAGCCACCCAAGGGAGCAGCGAGGCCTTTGTGTGGGTGCGCGTGGCCCCCGACGCCGCCGGACCTCACAGGAAATCACAAAGTGGCGACAGCTGCACTGGTCGAAGCAACCCAAGGGAGCAGCGAGGTCTTGTATGGGTGCGCGTGGCCCCTGACGCCGCCGTACCCCCTCGCAGCCCACAAGAGTGTCGACTGCTGCACAGTTCGCAGCCCCCCAGGGGAGCTCCGAGGTCTCACATGGATACATTTACTCCCCGACTCCTCCGTGCCCCCGAGGAGCCCACGAAAGTGGCGACGATTGCACATTTCGCAGCCATCCAAAAAAACTGCGAGGTCTCCAATGGATCTGTGTACTCCCAGACTCCGCCGTGCATTCCAGGAGCCCACGAGAATGGCGATTGCTGCACAGTCCGCAGCCCCCAAAGGAGGTGCGAGGTCTCACATGAATCCGTGTACTCCCCGACTCCGCCGTGCCTCCCAAGAGCCCACGAGAACGGCGACAGTTTGCACAGTCCGCAGCCATCCAGGGAGCTGCGAAGTCTCAAAAGGATCCGTAAATTCCCAGACTCCGCCGTGCCTCCCCCTTGTAGGAGCCCACGAAAGTGGCGATTGCTGCGCAGTTCGCAGCCCCCCAAGGAACTACGAAGTCTCACATGGATCCGTATACTCCCCGACTCCGCCGTGCCTCCCAGGACCCCGCGAAAACGGCGACAGTTTGCACAGTCCGCAGCCGCCCAGGGAGCTGCTAGGTCTCGAATGGGTCCGTATACTTCCCGACCCCGCCGTGCCTCCCAGGAGCCCACGACAGTGGCGATTGCTGCGCAGTTCGCAGCCCCCCCCAGGGAGCTGCGAGGTCTCAAGTGGATCCGTATACTCCCTGACCCCGCCGTGCCTCCCGGAAGCCCACGACAGTGGCGACAGCTGCGCAGTTCGCAGCCCCCCAAGGAACTACGAGGTCTCACATGGATCCGTATACTCCCCGACTCCGCCGTGCCTCCCAGGACCCCGCGAAAACGGCGACAGTTTGCACAGTCCGCAGCCGCCCAGGGAGCTGCTAGGTCTCGAATGGGTCCGTATACTTCCCGACCCCGCCGTGCCTCCCAGGAGCCCACGACAGTGGCGATTGCTGCGCAGTTCGCAGCCCCCCCCAGGGAGCTGCGAGGTCTCAAGTGGATCCGTATACTCCCTGACCCCGCCGTGCCTCCCGGAAGCCCACGACAGTGGCGACAGCTGCGCAGTTCGCAGCCCCCCAAGGAACTACGAGGTCTCAAATAGATCCGTATACTCCCCGACTCCGCCGTGCATGCCAGGAGCCCACGGAAGTGGCAACAGTTGCACAGTCCGCAGACATCCAAGTAGCTGCGAGGCTTCAAATGGATCCGTTTACGCCCCGACTCAGCTGTGCCTCCCAAGAGGCCACGAAAGTGGCGACTGATACACAAAACACCGCCCCTCACATGGATCCGTTGACTCACCGACTCCGCCGTGCCCCCCAGGAGACCACGAAAGTGGCGACTATTACACAATCCGCAGCCATCCAGGGAGCTGCGAGGTCTTATATGGGCCCGTTAACTCCCCGACCCTGCCGTGCCTCCCAGGAGCCCACGAAAATGGCGACTGTGGCACAGTCCACTCTTACTACTACGATTGCTACGACTACTACTACTACTACTACTACTACTACTACTACTACTACTACTACTACTACGACTACGACTACGACTACTACTA